AAAGTGATATAATCTGTTTTTTGTTTGGTTGGTTTTTTGGTTTTTTTTGGGTTTTTTTTGTGAACCTCTTTTGGTGCTCAATTTCTTAATCAGTGGAAATAAGAATATTGTAAAAGATTATGTAGCTACAATTGTTAAACAACTATGAATGTTCAAACCTTAGTTTCGTTAAAATTCGACAATTACTTTGAAGGAAACAACCTCATACTGTAAAAAGCACAATTTTTGAAAAGAAAGACACTATAACTATAAATAATCTCAAACGGAAAGCAGGCTGTTCAGCTGGCATGAAAATATTTCCTTTCATTTCAGACAGTGTAGAAAACTAATGATTTACTATACTGGCTTTTGCTTAGATTTTTAAATTTTGTATGCATGTTGCTTGATTTCTCCCCATGTCTGTATTTGTCTTTAATTATTACTTTTTTCAATAATAATTTTTGATAACATGTAGGATTTATCTTAAAATGAGCCGTTCTTCTGCTTTTTTCCTTTATGCAGCTTCATACTGGTGAGTCATCGTGTCCATCCTGCTGAATTTTCCGAACAGAAGAAATGCATAACCTACATTTTTCACTGTAATATTAGCTTTTACCTCATGTCTTCTTCCACGGTGGGATCAAGTGTGCTTCATTTCTGCTGTCAAGTTGACTTCTTAGCAGTTTTCTCTTTTTCTGTGTTAAAAGAACATACCACTTCATGTGAATATATCATCAAAAGATAATCAGTGTTAAGTGAAAAGTTGCAACAGCTAACGTTGAACTCAGTAAAAATTGAGGACAATAGATAAGGTAAAGGGAATGCTTTTTTTTTTTTTTTTTTTTTTTTTTTTTAAGCACATAAAGATCACGTAAACCTTGTCAGGTTACTCCACTGAATATTTCTGCATAGCATTCATTGGCAGAGCCCTGGAGTTTCAGCTCACTGTTTATTATTCTTCAGTACTATGATTCACAGTTATTAAGACTGACTAGTGAAAGATCACTATCACATGAACTGGAAGGTGACTGAATGACTGCAAACTAAAATAACAATGAATGGCAGTGAACAGAACTAAGGGAAAGTATGAGAGTGGCAGTGTCTGATGAGCCTTCAGGACTGGCATCATTTAGCAAACCCCTTACTGACCAGGAAGATATATATAATAAGAATAACAAAGAAATTTTGAAGAAGTCTGTAAATAAAAGAGAACTAAGAACCATGAACAGCTGAAGAAGAGACAAAGCATTTATTGTGGGACAACAATCTTCTTGAAGGAAATTAATTACTGATATGCACCTGGCACTAGGTGCTAATCTCTGATCCTTTGGGGGCAAATTCTAAATAGATTATATCCCAAAACCGAGGAGGTCTAATTTTTATATATGCTCCCCAAAAATGAACACATGAAATACAGTGACTGAAAATGTGTAACATTAACTTCAGGATGGTATGAGTTTCATATACCTTGAGAGTGGGTAACTCAAGAATTCCTCAGCCCAAAATCGAGGAAGCTTATGAAATGATGAATTTGTTTGACAAGGCAAACCAAAATAAAAACCTGAAACCCTTCCTAACATATTCTTTTGCTTTATCAGGGGGTCTTTGTTTCAGATGCTATTCTCTCAGTGTACGTCTTCTCAGATCTTAGAATATAGTCAATTTTAAGTAGTGACAGTGAGATTTCCAAATTATTTTCTAAAACAGCCCTGTGAATTTGAGTATTTGCTTTTGCAAAAAATACCACCCTTGCATATATACTTAAAAATATATATATATATATCAAGATCTTTGGAACAATGGTATTGAACGTTTTTTAAAGTTATTGATGTGATCTGAGATGCTATGAAAAATAATCAGTAGGACTATGAAGTTGCCTGTCATTACACTGCTCCAAGGTAAGGGCAAACATAACATCCGTTCATCTTATCTGGGCTAGGTTAAAGTAAATAGCTTTCACTGTGCATGCTTTCATGATCAGATATTAGTGGGGGAAAAAAATCTAAACTATGCTTAGAAGAAAGCAAATGTAACATCCTTCATGAGCATTATAGACACAATCCTGTAGTTACTTATGTTTCCCAAGGGCAATGAATGCATAGAGCGATGACCTGGGTGTGGAACTGCTCTTCAGCTGGAGCTTACTAAGCATCACTCTGAAAATCCCTGGTATTTGAAAAGAAACATCACTACGAACACATGCCGTGGCTTTCCCCACATATTTATTTCTTCAGCCCTTTCAGTGCTGCAACTGGCATGGCCTTTTTAAATTTGTAAGTATTCTGTTTATTAACACGAGGAAGAAAAAGTGGAGAGAAATAAGGAGAAAAATAAATAAATAAAAGGCCTTTCATGTTGTTGTGTACTGCAGAAGAAAAAAAACAACAACGAACAACCAAATGAGAAGGGCTAGAAGTGAGCACATCCGCAGGAACAGCGGTAAAACTCAGCAATGCGCACTGCGACTCACTACCTCCGCGCTTCCACCACCAACCACGGAAAGCGGGCCACACCTGCAGGGAAAGCTGGGACGGAGTGAGCCCAGACGGCTCCACACCGCCCAACTACCGAGCCGCTAACCCCGAATCCCTCCGCGAAGGGGAGGGAAGACTACGCACCGCACCGCCTCTCGCCTTGCCTCTCCCTCCTTCGCCCTGTTGTCGGGGGTGTGTTTTCTTTCCGTGCCCCATCAAAGCCCCCTCTGTTATTGAAATATGAGGCCGCTTCCTCCCCGGCGGAGGCCGCTGGCAGGAGGCGGGGAGCAGCGGGGCGGTGCGGCCGCCTGCAGCCGCGAAGAAACGTCTCTTTGTTCGGGCGGCGCGGCCCGGGTCCGCCTCAGGGCCGGTGTGTGAGGGAGCTCTCCGCCGTGCTTTCCGCCAGCCCGGCTGCGTCAGGGCCTCCTGTCCGGCACGAGGCGAAGGGCTCCGGGGCAGCCCGGTCGCGACAGCTCTTAGCCTTGCCGTGTGAACGTGTGTTACTGTTATCACGGAATCACAGAATGGCTTGGGGTTGGGAGAGAGCTTAAAGCCCGCCAGCTCCAAGCCCTGCCACGGGCAGGTTGCACCCCCAGCTCGGGCTGCCCAGAGCCCCACCCTGAGTGCCTCCAGGGATGGGGCACCACAGCTCTGCCGGCAGCTGTGCCAGGGCCTCACCACCCTCTGAGCGAAGCATTTCATCCTCATCTCCCCTAATCTAAATCTCCATCCTTTTAGTTTAAAGCCACTCCCCCTTGTACTAACACTATCTGCAGTTGCCTTCCATCTCATTTGTAAGCCCCATTTAAGTACTGAAATGACTCACCAATAGCTATGCATAACTGCCTTCATATATCTAGGCAGAATTCCTTTTTTTTCCTGTTTTTTTTTTTTTTTTTTCCTTTTTTGTTATTTTTTTTAAATGAGATCCACTGTGAAGTCACTGATTAGACACAGCAGTGGTTGACCCCTGTGTGGTGACTCTGGTAGAACCAGCGGCGTCAGGAGTGTTTTTGCACCAGGATGTGCAGGCTCTGGCATTTCCTGATCAGGGAGGATTGATGAGCTGCAGCCTCTTTTGATGGTGCAGGCTGAGAGTTTGACACCCACAATGATAAAAGCCTAGCAGGGTCCGGGCTGAAAAATGATGTTAGAGACTTGCAGTGGATGTAACACAGCTACATGCTTCCATTTAGCATTTGTGAAAGAAGGAGAATGGGATGAAATGAATCTGCAAGACCAAGTTGCCTGGGTTACCTGGGTTTTCTAATCTAGCAGAATTTAGAAGTTGAGAAATTGTACATAAATTTTTTACTTCTTGTTGGAGGATCAAGCATCAAGAAGTGTATTTTTTTCAAACAAAACAAAAAGCTGCAACATTTGTATTCAATATAGATAACATTATTTGTGTCCCAATTTGCCACACATTAGTACATCACCAAGGCACCAAGACTGTTTTTTTGTTTGTTTGCTTGTTTGTTTGTTTGTTTTGGGGGGGGTGCAGGGCTGGTCTTTTTTATAATTATTATGATCACATTTAGCAACAAAGCAACTACAGCAGCTTTGTCTGTAGTTTTAAGAGACTAAGTTTAATGTGTTCACTTTGCATGCTATGTGATTTAGGGGGTTCCAGGCAAATGCTGTTTATATTTTAGCTGAATGTTTTGGAATGCTCTGTGTCTCCTGATGTGAAATGCACCCCAATCCGTAGGTTTTTAGTGATGGAGGACCAGTTTAACTTGAGGTGGTGTTAAGAGATACTCAGGGACAGAAGCTGCTGAAATTGAGGGCTGTGTGGTGCTAGTTCGGTGAGCAAGGCACACTCTGTAATTGGGGTGTGATGAGAGAAGCTGGACAATGTTCTTGGATTAATAGCTCAATTGGAAGTTGAGGTAAAACAAAAGCACAAGGGGATCCTGTCAGGTCCAGCTGTTTCTACCCCTGCACACCCCCGCCTTTCATGCATCACTTTCTCCCCTGTCTGAAACCACCACGTTCCCACCCTTGGAGCTAATGGCAGGGTGGGGGCAAATAAGAGGGGGGCGGTTGCAAGCGAGAAGAGGCAAGTGGTCAGAAGTATCACGTTTCTCAGGGTGTCCCACACCCTAAATTCAATGATCCCTTCATGAGGAAAACTTTTTTTTTTTTTTTTTTTAGCTTGGATCTGGTATGCAATGCAGAGCTTTTTTAGGTGCAGCTCTGGGAGGGCAGAAGCTGGGGGACAAGGAGGCTGGGGCAGGGACCTAGCAGGACAGGGCAGCGTGCTGGGACACTCTGTGTGTGAGTGAGTGAGACAGACCGCGTGTGTGGGTTTATTTTTTCCTCTCATTCCTGGGGTTTGAATGGAAAGCACGTTGAGCTGTAATTAAGACATCTTGGAGGCGTACTTAACTTATGACGTGTTGCTTTTCTTTTCCTCTCGGTGAGAAAGTGGCTCTCTTTTCCCTGAATCAGGTCCTCTGCCACCCAGAGCCACAAAGAGACACTCGGGACATAGGCACACACACGCACACGCCAACTTAAGGTGAGCACCATAAACTTCCTCTGCACTTCGCTGTCCTGTTTCAAACTGTTGGAGAGTTCTGAGAGCATCTTGACTCGGGAGCTCCACACAAGGTAAAGAAATAATCAAACTTTGGGGAAAGGTTTTTGCTCCTTTATTGCTTTGAGTCAGATGGGGATGCAGTAAGCAACTATAGCATCAGCTGCAGGGCTGTAGTGAAAGGACTTTGAAGCAATCTTGTTTGGCAGCTAAGGGGGGGAGAGGGTGAAAGACGAATTGAAACTGACTAAGTTCGGTGTGTTTAAGTGCTCTGTGTTACCAAAGGAGAGATCATATTGCAACTGCAGATTCTGAAATACAAAAGTTGTATACTTCTGCTCTACAGCTTCCTCCTGTGGGATTATACATTTCACAGAGATTTGTCTTTCTTGTAGAATTTCTCCTCCCTGTTAGATGCTTTTAGAAGTTTTTAGAATGCAAGAACAGGAGGACGCTGAACTGAACAAGAATCTCAATGGCTGGAAGTGGATTTGTGTAAAGTGCAGACTTTCCATTTGGAAGGAGAAAGATTTTGATAAGATGTGATAAATTACATGCTGAAGTCGTATTTGTCTATTTATTGATTATTATTATTTTTTATCAGAGAAAAGCCTGAGCAACATTTGGCACAGGTTTCTGTATCTCGACTCATTCATATGGATTGGATGGCAGAGACATAGCTACACATTATGAATGTGTAGCTATCTACAAGTTAGCTGGTCAATCACTATGATAACTTTATCCTCTCACTGCCTGTTTGTTTGCTTCTTGATCAAATACCTGTAAAGGAGTCAATCAAAATGTTTTTCATAGCATGACAGCTTGTGTGGCACATTTAGATAGAATGCATTTACAGGTTTAAATTAAAGAGATCTGTTGTTATCATTAGAAAAGAAGTTTAATTACTGTTTGGATCTTTCAGATCAGAATATATTTCCCTATATGTTTTGTGATGTCATGAATTGATATAACTCCTGCTGGAGGCTCTGGAAAATTGGCTGTGTACAGGAGAATCCTATGAATTACTGACAATGATGAGTTTGTGTTAATGATTAGGAAGACTATTCTAGTGTTTAAATACAGAAAGAGACCTATTGGGTTTTTTTTAGGAAAATGTTAAGAAACATGGCAGCTGAAAGCATAGGTGCAAGAAGTCTGTATAACCAATACACCCCCGCTGAGTAAACGCTTTCTGAAGATTGAGCATTTATAGAATATAGAGAAATGCACCATAAACAGGAAAATGATTACCAGTTCCTCCTCCAGAGACAACCAGTAGTTAACATTCTCGCACCAACGAGTGTCACACAGAATGCCAAATCCTTGTGCTACAAAGACAGCTCATGCTTCCTTGGTTTCTCATATCTTTTGGTGGCAGACCTTCAACTCCTGTAGAGGACAGCTAAGTGGAGTTGCTCTGAATGTGCTGAGAACCTAACCTGTGTATACTTACCTGTATTAAAGTTACTAACAAGCACAAAAGAGAAATTTGAAAGAAGAAATAAAAGCAGAAAGGAAAAGAAAGAAAAAAGTTAATTTGTGATGTTTTAAACACAGCAGTCAAAGCAAAAAGAAAAAATTTGTTTGTTAAAGAGCAGATCTTCCGAGTTGAATAATAAATCTGTGAAGGTAATAATCAAGACACTTCTGGCCTGCTCTGAAAATGTGCCAGAAGGCCAGTTTTTCTAATAACCTTCAAGAACATTCTAATGAGAAAGAGAAAAACGTCCATGTCATTATGAAGAAGTGTTATCTATAGCAGTGTCCTATTCAGAGACATGACTGCCAGTGTAATTCACGGTAAAGCACACTTTCTTTATGAGCCTAATGTTCAGTTTCCTCTCATTTTCAGTCAGTAAGGCTAAAACAACTAGCAACTTCTAAAAAACAGGAAGAGTAATTATGGTAGTACAAAGGTTTGGGGTTCTGGGAGAGAGACTTCAGAAAAGGGTGGTGATTCTGTCATGCTGCAGTGCACCTTTGTTTTTATAATTTGTGAAAGAGCAAGAAAAGCATTGTCTGCTGCACTGAGAACTCGTCAGTCTCTGATTTTATGCTGAAATGTGAGCAAATGAAATATAGTTGTTCACTGTTGGTCACAGTATGAAGCCAAAAGAGCTGGTATCAATATTTAGTTAATCAAGTCACTTAACCTCCCAGCCCCTCAGTAAAAGACAGGAAATAATATTGACCAAGCTTAAAAAGTGATTGAGGTCTTCAAGGGAAGGGTGACTTTGTAATTACTCAGACTTAAATGTACTGAAAGTTTTCCATTTTTGTGCAAGGATTAAAGAGTGAGTATTGAAATTAATAATTTCTTTTTCAACAGCTTTTGATTTGCTGTTGCACTGAAGCAGTGGTTAAACTACCCTTGGAATTTAAAATACTTTGCATTTCTAGATTTCATAGTGAACCTGACAGTGTATTTCATTACTTAAAACTCCCTAAAAATGAAAAGTACAGTTGAGGGGGGAAAAAAATCATTTTCATATTACAAGCTGCTTCTGTTGCTTGTGAGGAAGTATTAGACATTCTGTCTCCACTGTTAGTAACTGTAGGATACAGTACTGGGCTTGAAAAGGTAGCTTGTAATTTGTAGGTTACAAAATGTTCTTTGGGGAAAAAAGTCTGAATATACTCAGGATTTCAATCAATAGCGTTTAAGGAGGATTAGAGGAAACAGCTGGCTAAACAAATATTAGGTGTAGAGTGGATGCAGTGGTATAAATTAATAATGCAGTTCTTTATCTGCTGTATGAATGGGAGGTTTTGTGGAGATAAGGTGACCTTAAGGCGGTCACTGTGTGCCACCTAGTGGATACTGAGAATAGTTTTTCCAAATACATACGTATTTTAATCCTGAACATCTGTAACTAATCCAAGTGCAATTTAATTCTAAGTGGTTAGTTTTATTCAGTTTTACCATGAAAAGCTATCGGCTAACTTAAAGGAAAGAAAAAAAAAAGAAAAACACATTTTCAATAGTTTCTTTCTAGCCGCCTGTTATATCTGCTAAAATTCAGTTTGGGGTTTATTTGATGTAATTTGTCACTGGTATCTGTTTATGAAGAGTTGTTAAATCATTCAGTATTAAATATCTGAAAATTAACAGTTTGACATACCAAGCTGTTATTGGAGGAAGCAAAAAGGTTTTTGCACAAATATTGTAAATATTGTGGCAGAATAATCTGTGTTTGGCAGTAAGGATTTCAAAACTCCTTCCAAAACTCTGTTATCATGTGGGATGTGCTGTTGTTAAGCTTCCTCTTGTTTTGTTTTCAAGTGTGTTGTCAATGATAGGCATGGACAAAGCAAATGTCAGATTATTTCTGATACTCAATGAAAGGTCAAAACCCCTCTCCATCTTCTTTTCCTATGCATGTCATTTATCTCCACCTTCTTTGGACCTCACACACACTTAACTCTTGGAATAGTAAAGAGAAATGAAAACTGCCCTTTGGTCGACTGCACTGTTTGTTGTGTAGTAGACATTCTGTCTACTGTCAGGTGCTGTCAATAATATAATCATAACTCTAAAGGACCCAGTGAAATAACAAGATTTTAAGCAAGCATACATCAATCTGGATGTACTTTGTAACTGTTTATGTTGTGTGACCAGCTTATGTGATTTCACCACCATCAAAGCTCCTGCTACAGTCATCTCCCAGGCACCTAAAAGAAGTGAAACATCTATTGTTCTCATTTTACATTACTCAAGTAAGTGCCACAATGGCTGCTGTGGCAAAGATGTATTAAAATAATTGGCAAAATGTAGCTCCCTGTGCTTCACTCCTTCCCGATTTTCATCGCTGTCTGAACAATAAATCAAATGGCAAGTCCACACTTAGCAGAACAAACAGTTTTCATGTCCTTCTCATTTACTTAGCTTTGAGAATGCTTTTTTTTTTCAGTTGTTGTTTTTTTTTCAATTAGTACAACAGAGCGGAAATCCTGAACATGATCAATGGCTCTGAAAACAAATATTTAAAAGATGCATTAAGAAATCTCAGAGCAGTAATCTGTATAAAGACTCCACTGACTACTCTGAAAACATTTATTAAGAGTTACATAAAATAATGCTATAGGACATTGCTAGTGTGATGCATGAGTTAATGGCCAAAGCGAAACGGAGCTCCACCTTTCCATTAATTAGGCGGTCTACAAATGAAAGCCTTGGAAGGTAAAATACTACAGCAACAAATAGCCTGATTGATTTGATGCCATGCTTCATAAGGAAGCTACCATTTCGTTTAACTCTGCCTGGCTTGGTACTGTGAGTCACAGGAGCTGCAACTGGGAACCAAATCCAGAGAGTTGCAAGGCAGAAATCCCTCCCAGAACTGCACTTTCTGCTAGAGTCATCGTCGCGCATAGCCCAGGACATTTCCTAGAGCAGGGCACATCAGATGCGATGCCGTGGTGGGATAAACATCATTAATTGTCTGGCATTATAGAAATGAAGTCACAAGACCAGAAGAATGTGACTGGATATATGCCTCCTGCTTCAAAAAATGTCATCATGGCATTTGTCTAGCAGCAGAAGGCCATTGTCTTGAGACAGTTCTCCATTAATAATATTCCCTAATTACTTCAAATGCATACAGCTTACAAAGAACATACGGGCAATTGAGACAGGTTATAAATGTGTTTGGAAGAAATCTAGGCAGTAGAAAACAAATGTTGTCTGGATGCCATGTCATCTGCATTGTATCAGTAAATGTTTGTGCATTATGCTGTGAAGTAAACTGCCATCTCATGCAAATACCATTTATTTATTTTTACTATTTTTTTTAGTATTTTTTCCCTACAATGGCAGGTCGTTGGTCATTTGTAGTTCTTCCCATACAGGTTACTACCCTCAATTATTTCAATACCGATGATTCATTGTTCCTTTAGTAAGTGGCAATCAGTGCTTGGTGCTTCTGTTTTAGAAGATCTTATATGCAAGGCATGGTTACAATACCACTGTGCTGTTAGATTCTGATCCAGCAAAACAATATTTAAGAATCTTTACATACATCAGTAAATCACACAAATCAATGGCAACTCAGATAGGGCTCAGGGAATAAAGGCA